TTAAAAAACAATCAACTTGTTTGACAGGAACGTACAATCACTCTTGACTTGATTGTTTTTATTGTGAATATTTGGGACATCACATAATGGTACTTAGAATTTCAATCTTAGAATTACAGGATTATGTAAACTTTACACTTTATGCCCCCTTGTGGATCAGCAGTAAGTTCACAGACTTACAACACTAAAACTCCGGATTTGATTCTGTATTTTAATTGTCAAATAAAAAAGAGGCATGTATAACAGTGTTCAGTTGTTTAACCCCATTTTATGACAAAATGAACAGCAGAGTAATAGTTCAGTGTTGTTTCCAAGCCTATTCTAGGAACAAGATGTGTGTTTTGTTCTGTTACTCTGCTGTTCATTTTGTCATAAAAAAAGATATAATTATAAATGTTTGAGAAGGGTCGGGTTTAACTGGTAATACCTGTAAACTGTGTTGAGAAGAATCATATTTTAAAAGAGAGTAATCTGTCTTCTGGAATAGTTCCAGGAATATGATCCAATGTTCTCAACTGTTATTTCATGTTACACACACATACTTCAGGAGTGATGTTTTTTTTTGCATTATGTTTGAAAAACTGTACCAATCAGTGTTGTTTCCAAGCCTATTCTAAAAACAAGATGTGTGTTTTTTGTAAGCTGTGTAGAAGAGTCAGATTTTAATGGGTAACTGTAAACTGTGTTGAGAAAGATCAGATTTTAAGATATATATGTAAGCTGTGTAGAAGAGTCAGATTTTAAGTGGGTAACTGTAAACTGTGTTGAGAAAGGTCAGATTTTTATATATCTTAAAATCTGATCTTTCTCAACACAGTTTACAGTTACCCATTAAAATCTGACCTTTCTCAACACAGTTTACATTACCCATTAAAATCTGACCTTTCTCAACACAGTTTACAGTTACCCATTAAAATCTGATCTTTCTCAACACAGTTTCAGGTAATACTTAATCTATCTTAATGAAGTTTCCAGACTTTATAAATCTCAGACATTTTTAATCTGTCTAATGTTTATATTCTAATAAAATTAAAAGTGAAAGAAAGCTATTTCTTGTTTTCTTATTTAAGGAAACACTTTTAAACAATTATTATCAGTTGAAGGTGCTTTCCTAGACTCCACAGTGAAAAATGTTCGACCATTTTGTTTGGTCTCACTATTGCACCTTCACACATCCTTGTTTTCAGTGTTTGGTGTAAAATTCTCACCATTAATGTGAAGCTCCAGTGGAGTGATAGATATTAAAGCTCTAGATAGTATAGTTAACTATCTAGGGGTGGAGTGATAGATAATAACTATCAATCAAATTACATAATGTTGAAAACAAACTGTACTAAATGCCTAAGCTGAAAACAAGGATGTGTGAAGGTGCAAGAGTGAGATCAAACACTAAAAACAAGGATGTGTGAAGGTGCAAGAGTGAGACCAAACACTGAAAATAAGGATGTGTGAAGGTGCAAGAGTGAGATCAAACACTGAAAACAAGGATGTGTGAAGGTGCAAGAGTGAGATCAAACACTGAAAACAAGGATGTGTGAAGGTGCAAAAGTGAGATCAAACATTGAAAACAAGGATGTATGAAGGTGCAAAAGTGAGATCAAACATTG